TTACTGTATGACTGACACTCTACACCAATAGTCATGAATTGTGTTTGCTTGTGATCAACTGGACATCTTACCTCGAGATGCTCTTCATATTCCTTTGACTCAGTTTTTTGGCTACTTCCTTTCTTTTTCCTGAATTCAGCATGTTAAGTATTTCAATACATAAACAGAAGCAAAGAAAAAAATTCAGGATGTTCTATAAAAACTGTCATGGGGGAACTATCTGTTGTTTTCTTTCTGATCTTACCTCATCAAAAGAGAAAGAAGTATCAGCAGCAACAGTATAGCCACAGCCAGCTTCGTGATATTCATTATTTTGAAGCGCATCGCTACAAGAAACATATTAACATTTTAATAGAAAATGAACATTCAAACCTTTACTATACAAGTTATTAAATTCTTCATATATAGCTGGTTTGTTTGTTTTTAGTGTTTTTTTTTTTTTTTTTTTTTTTTTTACTAAACTGGAATAAAAAATGCTGAGTTTATGAAATAATTGTTTTGGATAAGTGTCTTGCAAACTCTACAGCTTACATTCCACAAAATTAATTGTCATCCTTGTGAATTGTCCCTTATTACATGGTTAGTTTTTTTGTTCACATGAATTTTAACATCAGTATTAAAGGGGGAATCGACAAGCTATGGCTAGATATGGCGTCTTACAATCTATAAGGAACCTCGTGGACTAAAATGCTGAGATATTTAGCATACTGTGACTTTGCTCCTGGTTAGACCACTTTCTAACAATGGTAGTTTTCACATTAGCAATGTCCTCAGCGAGTACTTCCCTCTGCTGCTCCTTACACAAAGGAGCAAATCCATCTTCCCTGAGGCTCAGCCTGAAATTACTTATGAACTTTACAGATAAGACCAGTCTATGAATTATTTTCAAACTCAGATATTGTCCCAATGTTTAAACAAATATGGTGTTTTAAATAATTTTTGCTTTTTGTAAAATATTCAAGATGGAGTCTGACCATGGAACAATATGTATGACATGAACTTGACATATAAAGAAATTTAGTCCAGTTTGGCTATAAAAATAAAAGAAAACCTATATTAACTTAGCACGGAAGACTAAGCTGTGAAATAGATCACAGAAACTATGATAAAGGTCATAGTCTACATTTTCTGCACTGTGTGCATATTTTGTCTCATTTCGTCCCTCTGTGGTTTACCAATGGACAGCCATCATAAATCATGGTCAATCCAACAACATACACCATAAATATTACCTTTCACATGAACAATTAATATTTTTATTATTTATTGTGTGATATGACAGATACTTTAAATAACTTTAATTGGACTATCATTAGTAAATTAGTCATTTCTTCTAAGACTCAATAACAGATTTGTAGTTTTATCCTATGTCTAAATCAAAGTAAAGCTGATAGGAGTATTAGCATCTTAAGATAAGTCACAAACTACTCATTATGTTCACATAAAATCCGACTCCCAAAAAATATAACTTACGCTTAAATTGCATGTCTGCACCGGGTGCTTTATCCAACTTACTTGCAAAAACAGTAACATGTATAGCAGATTTGTGACTTCCTCTTTTGTTGATGGCTTCACAGTAATAAAGCCCACTGTGTTGTTGGCCTATATTTGCAATCGTCAAGTTCTGAATTGAATACTGTGGCCATTTTTCATTTTTGTTAAACCAACTATAATTAGCTGCAGGGTTGGCGTCACTGCTGCAGGTCAGTGTTAATGACATGCCCTCCTTGATTTCACCAGAAGGAATCAAAGACACCACCGGAAGCCTGGGAGCATCTGAATAAATAAAGATATAAGGATCAGATTGAGGAGGTTCATTTGAAATTACATCACTGATTCTTCACAATGTTTCCTTTTTGGATGCTGTAATATTGGAGCCATGGTACTAAAAGCCTGCCTTTGACGAGTAATCTTTGACATCAGCTATTCAACACTTGTACATTTCTTGACTGATAATGTTTATAAGCTGAACTGTGATGTAAATCTAAAAGACGAAAAAATCCAAAATAACAAGGATATGTCATCCACGCCCTGCTTTGAATGTTTTTTCATCTATAAAATAATAAAATTGTATTTCAATACATTTCAGTTCATTTATAAAGCGCCAACACATCATTTCAAGACCATTTAGAGAGAAAATGAAATCAGATTGTTTCAAGAAAAAACAGCTGATTGCATCTACTCATTGACTCTTCAACAATCCCTCTCACTGAGCATGCATGCAGCGACAGTGGAGAGGAAAAACCTCCTTTTAAAAGAAGAAACCTCCAGCAGAACCAGGCTCAGTGTGAGCGTCCTTCTGCCAGGGCCCTCTCTGGGGTTAAGGGAAACAAACCAAACAAACCTAAAAGCATGGATCTATAAAGGTGCATTCACATCGAACAGAGTTTTCCACTTGCACTGCGGAGAGTTCACCTCTTTCAGTGCGTTTCAGTTGCACAGTGTTTACCGCAAACTAAGTCATCAAATAGGAGGAGGTGCGTGAACTGAGAGAAGCTGACTTCCCGCCCACATGGGGAAAAACTCAGAAAATAGACCAAATGGTTATTGCAGGCTTGTGCATCATTTGTTTAAAAATAAATCGTTCGACCTTTTGTTTCAGACATATTACACCTCATTTTCAAGGTAATCCAGAGGTCAGCCATCCCTTCATTAAGCTCTCATTTGAACCAAGGTACAAAAAATAAGGGGTTTGTTTAAATAATACTTACATTCTACATCAACTATGATATTCTTAGATGTCATCATGAGGAACTTATTTTGAGCTGTGCAGAAATATTTTCCAGAGTCAGAAGACTGAATAGATTTGAAAACAAGCTTTGATTCTTTGCTGCGTGGATCAGGTTCATCCTCCTTGTACCATGTGTATTTAGCCGGTGGATTAGCATCACTGCTACAAACCAAAGTCACAGAGCTTCCCTCCACCACATCCCCTGATGAATGAAGTGAAACAATGGGGGGCCTTGGTGCATCTAAAAAAGAAAATAAAAGCACTTTAGTAACTGGATAGTCTCTGTCAAATTAATTATTTTCTTAGTTATGAACTAGAGCACAAGTCTTTGTTGGAACAATTTAGACTCTA